TTACTAAATACCTTTTATATTCCAACTACTATGTCAGGTGCTAGGTTCTTACAGTCTAGTGTGATAAACATACACTAAATACACTAAGCAATGGTATGGTCATTAAGTATATTCTTTTGCTATGTTTTCTTTTACATTTTTGGAATTATGCTCTTTTCGATATTTTAAAAAATCAAGCATCTCTTCCATTGTAGCTATTATAAAAATCATTTCCCCTAACATTTCCATGATATTTGTATCATTAACCACTATATCCTTTCCTGTAATATTTAAAATTTTTCTTTGAAATGTTAGTAAATGTGTTTTGTTTTGTTCTCTTAGAAAAATTTCCCTAAAAGGTTGATAAATGGGTAGTATTTACTTTAAAGATACACACCTTTTCATAGCAACACCAACAGATTGGTTTTCAAGGGAACTCTGAAGGCATTGTCCAGATTAACAATGTGGAGAGACTCATCAAAGGAGATTTTGTTGGTTGACTGGGTAAGGAAAAGATAATGCTTAATTTATCATTTGTATCAGTAAGCATTCTTGATTTTGATTTCTACAGATAATATTTTAGTTTATTACTTTTCCTTATTTTTTATTTTCTTACTACGTGAAATGTTTTCTTTAGATTCTGTAGCGCTTTAAAAGCATTTAATGGTATAATTAACCCATGCGGCAAATTAGAAGTTAAAAAACTTGCTTCTAGAATTAGAAAACAAGGGGAAATATATGAAAGAGCCAAGTTACCACAAAACCTAAACTAAGAATAAAAAACAATACTAAACATACCAAAATATAAAAAGATACAGAAAAACATTTTTAGAAAAGCTGACTAAAATATTGGTAGTGTCCTCTATGGAAAAGTTTAAGGGAAATACCATGATTATTTGATCTGAATAGTGTAGGAGTTAATTTGATTACATTTTAAATTGTACATTAGAAACAAAAATTGATTGTATTAAGTAGTGCAAGAAGATACTGAGACAAGGTATTGAGTCTCAGTTCGTGGTCCATTAAGAGGAGAACAATCAGTCCTTTCCCGGGATGGTTTTGACCAGGTTTCACGCACATAAACGCTTAGCGGCCATGTGGGTAACAGTGTTCACGTCAGCAAGTATCAGACATTAGTTAGAAGTGATTGGGGACCTGTCAGTGCTTGTTTGTTGTTCTTCTGCCAGAGATTCTCTAGCCTAGAATTGTATTCGACGGATTTCTCTTGAAAGAGTTAACATTAAAAAATTTGCATATAAAAAACTTGGAAAAGTCAGGTGAAATCTAGCTATATATTACTGTCATAAATCGAATTAGATCAAACTGCCGTTTCCCAGTAAGCTTCAGTTTTGTGGAGTTTCTGTATTAATACTTTATTACAATAAATTTTCTAGTGGTATGTTAATTTGAATGAGAACGTCATTTTATCAAAATGTAACGGAGATGGATAATTAGCTTTCAATAAGTATTTTATGTTTCATTTCTTTATACATTTTGTCATTTTTAATAAAATGTTTTAGCATTAGCAAAGTAAAAAAAAATTCTATACTTCAAAAGTGATCGTCATTATAATGAACTTTTCTACCTGCCATTATTTTATTTTACCTAAATTAACCTTAAAGTGTTATCTTGGTTTATTTTTAGATATGAAATTATTATTCTTTTTGGCTCCCAGTCTTAGTGAACTTTAAATAATAGTTTGTTATCCTTCTAGTAATAATAATTTGTGCTTATCCATTTTTTCCTTTTGAAAATTGAAGAACTGTATATGTATATATATATTGGGAAGGTCTGAGTTACACAAAAGTTTAAAGCATGACTAGAATTTTCTCTGTTTTCCTTTAGATAAAATCTTGAACTTGGCTAGAATTTCTACACTTTCTTTGACTATCCCTGGTACACATTCTGTTTAGGTATTATTCCCTGTTCTTTTGTAGTTAATTCATTATCTGTTCTTGTCTGTTGAAACTTATGCTGTATCCCCTTATCTCTCTCTCTCTCTTTTTTTTTTTTTTTTTTGGTGGGACCCTTGCCGTTGGCAGGGGAACGAACCAACGCCGCAAAGGCTGCGGGCCGCCTTGCAGCCCAGCACTCAACCGCTGCGCCACCAAGGGAGGCCCTCCCCTTATCTCTTTACCAAGTTAACAGTCTGATGAATCAGAGTCTTGTTCATTTATTCTTTTGCTCACCCAAGACCCATGAGAGTCTGCCATGAGCTGGGTATTGAGAATAAAAAGTGGAGGACCTCCCCTATTTTAAAACATCATTTCATCTTATTTTTTGTTGCATAGCAAAATAATTGCATATATTGATGGGCTTTCCTCTAAACATTTAAACATGAGTATCATTAAGTGCAGTTCAGTATTTGTTTACAATATTCCTTTTGCAGTAAAATTTATGTGTAACGTGATGTATAAATCTGATGTGGACGTTTGCTCAGTTTTGAAAAATGCACAGAAGCTCCCCCAAGATGCAGAATATCACTATTCTCCTTTTGCCTTTTCTCATATAATCCTTATACCTACTCACTTGTGATTATGGATTTGTTTGCATCATCTGTTAGTCTTGTATATTTTGCATTTCTATTTTTAAACTGTTATTGGAGCCATTCAGATTTAGAAATCTTATGACTTTTTAATGATTAAGAGATATCTTTATCTTTAGTAATGCTTACTGCAGTAAGGCTACTTGATCGATACTGGCATAGCTGTGCCAATTTCCTTTATTTTTTTAAAAGATTTTATTTATGCATACACTGGCCTGGGGTACAGGCCAGTGCTGTTGGGGGGGGGGGTGAGAGGATTCACCAGAGACAGTGGGGAACAGAACAGGTGGACTGACTGAAATACACTGCTGAGGGGAGCAGCAGGCAAGTCAGGAGAGGTCTGCTGTGCCACGTGGGTAGCTCACTGGCCTGGGATCGAACTTGTGCTGCAGTGGCTGTGTGGATAGCTTCATAGGTTGTGTCTTAATCCCTTGCACCTCCAGAGAGACACCCAATTTCCTGTAGAATGGTTTTAGACCTTTTCCCATCATTTTATAATCTATAGCCATAATTCTTTTAGCAGGGTGAATATTTAACAAAATAACAATTTTTGAGGGTTTTTTTTTTTTTAAAGATTTATTATTTTTTTTTATGCATACAAGAACTGGGGTATAGGCCAGAGATGTGGATGGCAGGGGGAAAGAGGATTCACCAGAAACAGAGTTGAAAGCAGAACAGGCAGATCCATTAAAATACACTGCTGAGGGGAGCAGCGGGTGGGACAGAAGAGGTCTGCTGCGGCATGTGGGTAGCTCCCTGGCCAGGGATTGAACTCATGTTGCAGTGGCTGTGGATAGCTTCATAGTGCTGAGACTTAACCCTTGCACCACCAGGGAGGCCCATGAGGCTTTGAGATTAAATATGCCTTCTTACTATTTGTGTTATATTTTATCTACATGTACTGTGCTACTTTTTCTCTCAACCTTTTTTTAATTCAGTCAGATACTCCAATTATCCTTCTCATCTCAGCATCTAATGACTATTGTAGAAATTTTACTACGTGAATTTTGAGTTATTGCAGTCTAATATAAATGATTATTTCAGTTGTTCTTTTTTTGAACAGATATTTTAGAAATTTTAATTCCATTTACCCACCTGACATTTTTGTTATTGTTGTCATGCACTTTAACTTTACATATAGTTTAAATTTAACAAGCTGGCAATGTTACTATATTGACAATCATAGTTCTTTAGAATTTGCCAATGTATTTACCCTTTTTATGGCTCCTCCTTTTTGCATTTCTGTGTTTTTTCCCCTTCTGTTGGGAGACCTCTTTTTTTTTTAGTATTTTTACTGATAGATTCTTTGTTTTTGTTTTCAGAAATTATCTTCATTTTCATTTTCAAACTAGTTTAACTGTGAATAGATGTCTTGATTGGCACAGGTTAAAAAATTTTGAAGTCATTCCATTTTCTTCTGCCTTCCATTATTTCTGTTGAAGTTTATTTCTCAGTCTATTGATTGTTGCCCCTTTAAATGTTATGTTTCCTTTTTCCTGTAGTTGCTTGAAGACCTGGCTTTATGTTGCTCATTAATGTTAGAAAATTCTTGGCTGTTTTCACTTCATTTTTGTTCCTTTCCTATTTTCTTTTTCCTCTCTTCTGGGGTTTCAGTGATATATATGTTAGAGTGTTTCAGTGAATTCCATATGTCTCTTAGATTCTGTTTTGCATTTTTCAGCCTTTATCTCGTTGTGCTTTGGTTTGGATATTTTCTTTTGAACTCTGTTAAAATTCTCATTTGCTCTGTTCAGTGTGCTGGGAGCAACACGTACTGACAGACAACAATTTTAGGGAAATTTTGCTCTGAAAAGCAATGATATTGGAGCAATAGTTGAGCCATGTGGGAATAAAGGAGGAGTAATTTATTTTTGGTTAGGGCATACTATAGTACGTTTATGTTACAATTGGACTAATTGAGTAGAGACGAAAAAAAGAAGGTACATGGGAGAGAAGGGAAGGTGATCTGGGGATAAAAGTCCTTGAGAAGGTGAGAGAGGAAAGAGCACACTAGGAATGGTTTTCCTTCAATAGGAGTGGGAGATAAAAAGCTGTAGTCTTGTGAGATGGAATTCTGGCTTGTTCAATGGAAAATATGTAGCTGCTGTAAGTTTCTAGAATGCTAAACTTTGGACGGGGGGCGGGGGGTGTCTGTAGATCATGTAGGAAACAAAATATTCCAGGAAATGGAGATTTGAGTGGAAGAATAGATTGTATTTATGATTAACTGATTCTCTTTTCTATTTCTGTGTAACTCAGCAATATCTGCCTTTAGGGTACTCAATGTAGTGTAATATACTTCTAAGGAAATATTTTACTTTAATTAAATGAACAAATGTTTTTTGTCGTATAGTTAAAATTTCTGTACTACTTATTTAAACATACTTAATTCCTTATAGTACATTAAAATTTTTAATAGTATTTTGAGTAGAAAAATCTAGTTTTCTAATATCTTTTTCCACATTTTCTTTTACAGTTTTGTCAGCACTAGAATAGCACAACCATGTTTCGGAATAGTCTCAAGATGCTTCTTACTGGAGGGAAGTCAAGTCGGAAAAACAGATCAAGTGGTAAGTGACTGTGGTACATTTATTTTGTGTGATAACTTAGAAATAGAAGTTTTGTTAGGGGTCTGAGTGTTATAGCAGATTTTGTATTTATTTATTATAAATGGTCATTTAATTTAGAAAAAAGGTTTACTTCTTATAAACTGTTATATTCTCTTTTTTTAAAGATTTATTATTTATTTATTTATTATTTATTTATTTGAGATTTATTTATTTATTTATTTATTTATACTGGGGTACAGGCCATATTTGTGGGAGGGTGAGAAGATTCACCAGAGGCAGAGTGGGGAACAGAACAGGCAGACTGACGAAATATACTGATGAGGGGAGCAGCGGGCACGACAGGAGAGATCTGCCACGCCATGTGGAACCCTCGCTCGCTGGCTGGCCAGGATCGAACCGGTGCTGCAGAGGCTGTGGACAGCTTCACAGCACTGCGCTCAACCACCTGAGTCACCAGGGGAAGCCCTATACTCCTTTTTTCAAAGGGATAGATACAGTGAACATTTATCAGAAACAAGGAAGTGTGTGAGTGAAAATTATTTGTTTCTAATATGTGAGAGAGTAACGTTGCTGTGTACTGCCTTCTAGACCTAAATTTGCTTTTTGAATTAACATGTAAAATTATTTCGTCCTGGGTTCTCTTTGGGGAATGAGACTGGAAAAATAGAAACTTTCCCAATGGTTTACACAGAAGTGAAATATTAATTGAAGATTTTTATAATCATTGACGTTTACAGATTTTTTTTTTTTTTAAGAATAAGGGAGCAATTCTTAGGTTTTCGTGGAGAGAAATATTGAAGAGAAATGTAGTAAATATTTGCTTTCTGTTAATGGGTTGTAGATATTTATTATACTCAGTAATTTTTTCAATTTCCTAATAATTTTGCACTCAAGTTTATATTGCTAGTATATTCTTTTTTTTAAAGATTTATTTAATTATGCATACAAGAGTTGGGGTACAGGCCAGGGGTCAGGGGGGTGGTTTGTGAGAGGATTCACCAGAGACAGAATGGGGAGCAGAACAGGCGAATCTACTGAAATACACTGCTGAGGGGAGCAGCTGGCGAGACAGGAGAGGTCTGCTGCACCATGTGGGTCAGCTCCCTGGCTGGGGATGGAACTCATGCTGCAGTGGCTGTAGATAGCTTCATTGTGCTGAGACTTAACCCCTAGCATCACTAGAGAGGCTCCTAGTAGTATATTCTTTATCATTCACATTCCCATTATGATTTCTTCTTGACCAATAAAGTATCCCTGTTAATTTCCTAACATCCAATGATTTCCTGGTTATCTTATTATTAACTGAGTTAGTAATTTTAACGTGTTATTCTCTTTTATCAGAAAATTTACCCCGTGTTTTATTTTTTTGATACTTGCCTTACAGCTCAACATACTAGTTTTGGCGAGTGTTTTAGATGTATCTGAAAATAATGTGGATTCTGCAATTATTGGGTGTGGTGTAGGTCAGTTTTGTAAAGGTTGTTCTTCAAATATTTTACCTCCTTACATATTTAAAATTATCTCCTGAGAAAGATGTAATTAAAGCTCATACTATGACTATGGAATTGTCTATTTTTCTTTCTAGTTCCTGACAATTTTTGCTTTATTGGGAAGCTATCTAATTAAATAAGAATTTAATTGAAATTCAGAGTTTCTCCATCTTTCTGGTGACTTGTCTGTTTTACAGTAATGAAATGTCCCTCTATTTCTAATAATGCGTTTTGTTTGACAGTTGAGCTTGTCTAATATTAGCATAACTCTCCCAGTTTTCTTTTGAATAGTGTTTGCAGGGTATGATTCTTTCCATTCTTTTACTTAAACATTTCTATATGACTAATACAATTAATTGCATCTTGTTGCATTTTCTTTTTTTTTTAAATTTATTCAGACAAATTTTTTGCTCTTAGTGGACTTTGATTCATTTATATTAACTAAATCCATGATATGTTTGTGTTTAAATATAACCTTATTGTGTTCAACTCTTCTTTCTTGTTGTCTTGATTTGGTCAGAACACTTTCTGTCATTCCATATCTCCCCCTAACGACCTTTACATTCTTTCAGTGGTAACTTAAAGATGAAAATATTCATCAGTCAAATTTCATATTAATGGATACTTTTGTCCCCTCTGGTACAATGCATAAGCCTTAGCTTTTTTTCACCTCCTTGTATTTTAAACTCCATAGCCATTATTATTGTTGTTTTATGTAGTGCTGTTATTTAGATTTACCCACACACTTGACTTTTCATTCCTTCCTGCACCCCATACTTTCCTGTTAGGGTCACCTTTTTCTTTGCCTGATAAACATCCTTTATAAATTCCTTTAATTTGGATCTTTTTGTGGAAAATACACTTAGCTTTTGGAAATGTCTTTATTTTGCATTTATTTTGTAGGATATTTTTTCTGGGAGCAGAATGCTATGTGCCAGTTATTTTCTTCTAGGACTTTTAAATATTGTATACTATCTTCTAGCTTCTTGCCATTATTTCTGGTGCGAAGGCAATTGTCAGTCTAGTTAGTACATCTTTAAAGATGATCTTTCTTCTTTCCTCTTTGTTTTCAGTTTTCTAGATTTACATGGCTCTGCCTAGAAGTGGTTCTCTTTGTATCTTTGTTTATCTTCTATTTATTAGTGTCTGGAGGGTTTCTTGATTTTTTGGCTTGGTGTCTTTCATCAATTTTGGAAAACTGTTACCCATTATCACTTCAAATTTTAATTTTTCTTCCATTTTCTCTCCTTTCTTTCTAGGATTCCAGTTATGCATTTGATAAACCATGTGCATATCAACTGTGTCTCTTACATTATCATTTTGTCTTCATATGCATAAAACTGGGTATTTTGATCTCTCTTCACTAATTCACTCTTTATTGGTATGCAGTCTTTTCTAAACCACATTCATTTCTTAATTTTGGTGTACGTCAGTTAAGCTTACTGAAAGATTTTAACAGTAGTCCAAAGAACTCCACATACCCTTCCACAGATTCACAAATTAACTTTCACTACATTTGCTTTATCATTCACTCTGACACACATACTCTGTCTCCCTCACTCCCTGTTCTGCTCTCCTTCTCTCACTCATTTTTTAGAATCACTTGAGAGTAAATTAAACACATCATGTGCCTTTTCTCCTAAAATTTTCAGCGTGTATTTATTTTTATTTGTGTGTGTGTGTGTGTGCGTATTATTGAGGTAATGGTGTATATGATTCCAAGGTATAGGATCACATCTCTTCAGATGTGTGTTACCATACCATACCTACCACCAAGGCACCTATAGTCCTCTACTACAGTGCACTGAACCCCCTCCACATCCTATTCTCCACTCTCCCCTCTTTCCCTTGGTAGCCTCAATTCTACTAGGATTACCCCTCTAAGGTTTGTAATTGGTTTGTTTCTGTCCGACCCTTTAGTTTGTTTCTCTATATTCCACATATAAGTGAAACCATCTGGTGTTTGTTTTCTCCTTCTGACTGACTTTGCTTAGTGGACTACCTTCTAGTTCCATCCATGTTACAGAAAATGGCAAGAGTTTTTTCTTTTTCAATAGTTGAGTAGTATATATACTACTAAGTATATATACCACAACTTCCTAATCTACTCATCTGTCCTTGAGCAATTGAGCAATTAGGTTGTTTCCATAACTTGGCTGTTGTAAATAGTACTACATTGAACATAGGAGTGCATATATATCTTCAAATTAGTGTTTTTGCATTCTTTGGGTAGATAACTAGGAGTAGAATTATGGGAAGGAGATTCTTTTACATGACCATAGTATAGCTATCAACTTTAGGCAGTTTAACACTGATAAAATACTTTTATTCAATCTACCATTTATTTTCCAAATTTAGTCAGTTTACCTAGTAATATTCTTCCGTTTCTTTTCAAGATCCAGGCCAGAACAAAGTTATCATTACTTGTCATTTCTTTTAATCTCATCTAATTTGAAGCAGTTTTTTAGCCTTCTTGAGTTTTAAAGAATAAAAATGTTTTCTTTTTATAAAAAGCTAAAATACTCCTAACTTTGGATTTGTTTGACTTCTTTTATGATTAGATTCATGTTGTACTTTTGAATATTACATAAATGTATGCTGCTTTCTTTTTGGAGTATCATAGCTAGAGGCACATAATATCCATCTGTCACTCATTAGTGATTTTGATGACCAAATCAAGGGGTTGTCTGGTTTTCTGCCCTATGGATGCCAATTTAATCCATTTCAATTTAAATATAATCTGCAAGTAAATATATTTGGTTCTTTTAACTGTTTCTAATTCTTTGTCAATGTTCTCAATCTTGAGTCTTATCTCTATGAGCATAGTTAAGTCTACATTTAGAACTATATCTATCTTATCTATCTTAAATGTCTGCCTGATAATTTTATTTATTTATTTATTTTTAAATATTTATTTATTTATTTATTTATTTATTTATATAAGCACTGGGTACAGTCAGTGTGGACTTCTAGTGAGTCCGAACCTGGGACGCGATGGTAAAGAAAATCAAATATGGGGGACTGTCATGTCCATCATACAGTAAATCTTTATTGTCTTAATGCTCATTACATACTATTTTAATTGTAGCAGGTGTAACATCAAAGCATACCACATAATGATAACATGTATGAATAATTAGTCTATTTTCTTACTATTATCTATTTACTTCAGACAGTAGGTACCAGGCGGTTAGTTCTCACACACATGATCTTATCGCCTCCTAGCCAGAGCCTGGGGAGTTGGCTCATTATTTTGTTGTTCTCAAACTGTGGAAATGTACGCAGTTCACTTCCAGGCTCTCAACACCAAGTCCTGTCACCCAGAGGTTTTCCTCCGAGATGCATGTGTTTTCACATACCTTAAAGACTTGGGTCAAGGCCCTTCTGCTCACTGCGCAGGGTCTCTCCATTTTGTTATTCTCAAACTGTGGAAATGTAGAAGCCCGACTCCACACAGGTCACTTTCCAGGCTCTCAACACTAAGTCCTGTCACTCAGAGGTTTTCCTCCG